TATATATATATATGTGTATTTAGTTTAATAGACGTGTGTATATGTATTAACTTTTCCATCGTGAGAAACTAACAAAATGTTTTCGATGAAAATACATGTGTGTCGAGCGATAATTTACTGACGAGTTTTCTACCATCTGATAATAAATACGTATGGGAATATAAATAAATAAATATATATATATATACACATTTATATATAAATATATATATATTTATATATATATATATACATATGTGTATACATATGTGTTGTATACATCTATAAAATAAATGACAAAAAAAAAAAAGAAAAAAGTAACGGGAAAATATCGAGCCATATATTTTCATCTCCATGAGAGTTTTTTTTCAAAATTAAAACAAAATTAAAATGGACGTTCGAAATTATTTTGTCGAGAATATATAAAAAAAATTCTCTAGTCAAATAACAGAGTTATAAAAAGGTTCCTTATTTTTTTATTTTCAAGAGTATTTTTTTTCCATCCTTTTCAAATATCATAGAAAAAATAATAATGTAAAAAAATAAAGATGGACGTCGTTCTTTCGGAATATCTTCTTTTTATCTATAAAAAGAAAAAATTCTCAAGTTTATAATCAATATTGTGTAAACACAGCATGAAAAAGGATCTTTCGTATTTCTTTTCCCTCAATACCACGAAAAAATAATTAAAAGAAAATACAATTCTCAAGTTAATAACAACATTGTATAAATATAACCTATAAAAGAATTCTTCTTTTATACCTTTGAAGAAATTCCTTCGACAATATCGTAGAAAATAATGAAACGTAAGTAAATAAATAAATAAATAAATAAAAATAAACGAAGTTATTATAGAAATACTTTTTTCTAGAAAAAATAATAACAAAGTTTAAAAAAGAAAAAAAAAAGAGGAAAAAAAAGTAGCCTCCATCTTTCCATTGATCGCAATAAAGAACAAAAAATAATTGAAAAGAAAAAAAAGGTAAGGAAAAAAACAAAAAAAAAATAGAAAAGTTATCATTAAATAAATGAGCGCTAGGAAAGAAGAAGGGCCTAACGAAAAAAATAATAATAATAAAATGTGTTTTAGAAATAAGCTAATAGTGCTAGCATGAGCACCAACCACCAAGAGCAGGTGCGGTCTATGCAGTCCGATCGATGATGCAATCGGGAGGTGCGATGGAGGTGCAATGGAGGTGCGATGGGAACTTGGAATAGGGGCTACGTGTATGTTATGTGTGTATATGTATATGTGTGTTGCCCAAAAACCGTTTTTAGAAGACGCGTGCGTGCGCTCGCGCGCATGGCAAAGATAAAATGAACAAACGAATTGAAACGAAACAAGGAAAAAAGAGAAAATAAATAAATTACTTTTTCTCCTCCCTGTCACCCTCCTAACTCCCCACCTCCTACCCTGTTTCCTACCACCCTTTTTCTTTCTTTTTTCTTTTCTCCCACTTTAACGCGCATGACGATCGTCACATTTTAATATCGACGACGTCATGCAAGCTAAGGAAGGGGGAATGGAAGGGGGCAGGCACGTCGTACTCAAATAAATTATAATATTTACGACCGATAAAAAAAAGAAAATAATATCAAATACTTAATCTAATATCTTGACTTCCATCATCGGATAAAAGTAAAAGATCTAATTTTCAAAATTCCTTTCTTTCAACTGAGTTTTAGTCGTCGTCGTGTTTTTCCTCTTCTCCATTAACGAACTTTTTTAAAAAAACGCGGTTAAAAGATAAAGAAAAAAAAATATGTTTAAGAAAAGTCACTTTTATCTGAACAAATTTTGCAATTATCTTTTTATCAAGTCAACAATTTCTTTTAAAATTGTACTTAATAAAATTGTACTATTTAGAATTCATCATGTATTTATACCGGGTGACCGTTAAAAAAAATTTCTAGGTTATTTTATGAAAATGATTTTTCAAGAAAAAACATAACCTTAATTCTTTTCTCAATTCTTCCAGTACAACGTAACCTTATTTCTTGCGGTACAACGTAAGTGCATACAACAACTTTAAGACGTGATAAGAATAAAAAAATTATTAAAAAATAAAGAAAGAAGAAATAAGATTAAAAAAAATAAAAGAAAAAAGAACGAGGAGCGAAGAAAATTCATTACTTCGTTATCTTTCATAATTTATCACGTTTCGTAGAAATTCGAACGTGGGCTATATATTTAACACAAGAGTATCTCCCCTCCCTAACCCCCATCTCTTCCCCCTCTTCCTCTCTACCGAAAGTCTATTTATGATTAATAGTAGTTCGGTCTAGAAGCCATTTGTTTCATGGTTATCCTATAAAAGTAACCTAAAATAAATATAAGATAGTATGTATGTATGTGTGTGTTATCATCTTCGATTGAGAAAAAGTTAAAAGTTTAAAGAAGATCTTTATACTTATTTTTTGTTTTTTTTTTCTGTTTTTCTTACTTTTCTTTTGTAACAATTTATGTCTTATATAAAAAAAAATAAAAAAAATAGAAGAAACTTGTGAAAAGAAATAAATATATGTATATATGTATATATAGTTTAAATTATTTATATTAGGTGGACAGGAAAGTAATATTGCATTCTAACCTAAAATTCTAACGAATCAATTTTTAACAAATTTGTATTTATTATAATATAATCACACCATTACTTTCCGGTTCATCTAATATTTATATATTATATATAAATATGTATACATGTATATCCTGTGATTATAAGGAATTGTCACATATCTCGAACTTCAATGATCTAAATTTACGTGTTGATCTGATGAGTGTAAACACAATCGGTTAGATTGAGACGGCCTCGTTTGCCGCTAAATAAGAGGCGTGAATAGGTTCCATTGTTATAAGTGTATAAGATGATGATTCTCACGTTTGATGTTTATCGCGTAGGACATTCCGTTGATGTTTTGATTAGAGTAGTACTTATAATATTACTTATTAAAATCTTATATATACATATACAATAATATTATGAACCAACAAATAAACAAATATATATATATATATATATAGTTATATAAAATTAAATAATAAATTAATTTTTATATAAATTAATTTTTATATAAATTAATTTCAATTTAAATTAGGAATTAAAAATTAAAATATAAAAAATATAAAAAAATAAATTAAAATTAATATAAATATAAATATATATAATTTTGTTTGAATTAAGTACTTTTCTAAATTTACCACCCTTTGCACACTCAATGGTTTCAAAACTGTGATAGACATTTTTAATTAAATACAAATAATGTCCCCTCCCCCATTTAATAAAACAATGTGACAAGAGAACATTAACATCATTGATTCTTTTAAATAAATTGCTAATGAAATTGTTCCAAGAAATTATTGCGTTATCCATTATTGGTACAATTTGAATTAAAACAATTCTCTTTCGAGTGCAAAAGAATACATCAATCACCTATAAAATAACACATGATAAACATATATACATAAATTTATCTATATATTTTATCTTGGATAAAATCTAGATAATTAATTGCTAAAGTAGAAAATAAAAATTATGATTGAAAGAAATATGAAATCTTTTATATATATATGATTCTTGAGAAATATTTTTTCAATTAAATTCTAAGGACAGATGAAGCTGCTGGTTGACTGTTTTTGAGCTTTGAAAAAAACACTTGGATAAACAATTTTTATTTTTCTTTCTCTTCTTCTTATTATTTGAAAAAACAATTCCTAACGATCCAATGATCAGTCGTGTAAAAAAAAAATAACATTCGCCATATATATATATAAATGCAATTTATATTATTGTCGTGTGTGTTAGTAAATAACTTAACGACAATAATTCGATGACGAATGTTTCTAAGAAATATTCTAGAACTTTGACGACAAAGAGAATGAAACGTAAGATCCATCCTTCCTTTTCACTATCATCACTACAACCAACATATACAATCATCAACATACAGAAGAATTAAATGTTAAATAAAGTATGAATGATCGGATAACGATCGATGATATAATAATGAAAATATGAAATAAAAAACTACTACTATGACTACTACAAAGAAATATTGGATTGGCAAGAAAGTAATTTCGGATTAACTAATAGATAGGGTTATGTTTGTTTCGTTATTATTTTGTTAACCCATTATATGCCAAATTATTTTTGGTTTCAGAAATATTTATATTTTTGAAAAAGTCTTAAATGGGGAATGTGGCTGGTTGCACGAAAAAAAACCAATAAGAGACTATTACCTATTTCTTTTATTATTATTTTATACATACAAAATAGCTATTATTATGCAATTATTCCATACAGTCCATATAAAACCGAGTGGTGTAAGTAAAATTCCAAAATCCCCAAATGGGGATCGTGGCAGCTAATGGGTTAATGTTAGAATTTTTTAGTTATTTAATGTAAAGTTCATTTTTTGTATAGAAAGTTAATAAAATTTAGTTATTTAATTTGAAGTTCATTTGTTGTATAGAAACAATTGAGTTTTATTTAACATTAGAAAAGCGAAATTACTTTCTTGCCAACCCAATAAATTTATCATAATACAAAATGAAGAAACAAGAAGAAAAGAAAATATCCTAGCAAATATCCTAAAGTATTTTTTCCTTCCTATTTTTTTTTTTTTTATACAGGTAATGAGACACCAACCAACCAACATAAAGAATAAATGTGTTTTGTTGAAAAAGAATTTTGTGTTAAAAATTGAATTGTCTGTTGAAATTTTATGTATAAAAATTGTTGTGTATATAAAATATATAACCTTGAAAGAAAATAGGTGTGGGAGTATGTGTGTGTGTGTGTTGAATTTATTAGATATAAAATTTATAGATAAAAATAAAACAAACGCTTATATTAAAAAACGTGTATAATGAGAATTACTATTGACGTAATTTTCTTCTTAAAAAGAAAAAAGAAATACTTGATATGTAAAGTTAGATAAATTTTCATCGTTAATTAAAGATTTTTTTCCTTGTTATTATAATAAAGATCTTCTCTTTATCTAACTTAGGAAAGTTATAGGAAGAATAAAACTAGTCTTCGATCGAGCAAAGTACCGTTATGGAAAGAAACTGAGTGAGAGAGACCCCGAAGTTTCGTTTACGTGGAATATATTCTCGCCATATGTTATTTCACGGCTGAATGATTTAAAGTAAAAGAAAAAAAAAGAACAAAGAAAAGAAATAGAAAAAAAGAATTCATTAAAAAAATAAATTTAAAACAAAATCAAAAATTAAATGTTGAATTATTGAAATTGAAAATATATGAAAAAAAATATTGAATTAAATATAATAAAAAATTTTAAACAAAAACAATGATTTCAATGTAATATAAAAATATTAAATTAAGTAATATTAAATTACAAAAAAAAACGAAAATAAAATGTGTTATAAAAATATTAAATTAAATGATAATAAATTTCAAACAAAAATAAAAATTAAATGTGATATAAAAATATTCAAATTAAATAATAAAAAATAAACCAAAAACAAAAATTAAATGTGTTAAAAAAATATTAAATTAAATAATAATAAATTTAAAATAAAAAAAAAAATAAAATGTGTTATAAAAATATTACATTAAATAATAAAAAATTTAACACCAAAATCAAAATTACATGTAATATAAAAATATTCAATTAAATATAATAATCAATTTCAAACAAAAACCAAAATTAAATATGACAAAAATATTCAATTAAATTAAACATAAATTTTAATTCAAAGAAAAATCAAGAGGAAATAAAAATTCGAAAAATTCTTATTATAATTAAATTACTTCAAAATTATTAAAGTAAAATATAAACTATGAGAAAAAGTTTATAAAATAAAATTGAATTTTCCAACATTCTTTCATATCCTACTTTTTTTCCTTCCTACTCTCGAAAGTAATATTTAATATATGATTTACCATATTATATATATATATATATATATATGTTATATTACTTAATTAAATATATTACTTAAATTTGTGAAATCTGAAAAATTCAGATTAGTCAAGAATTATTTCAATAGAAATATTTCTAAAGTTTTATTAAACGTTTTTTTTACTCTATTGTTCCCTGACGAGGTTAAGAAAAACTACAGAAGAAAAAAAAATAATAAAAAAAAAAGGTTTACGTTACACAATTGGGAATATCAAGCACGTTTTTAAATTTAGTTTTTTTTCTTTTTTACTTTTTTTTTTTTTTTTTTTTGAGTAAAGTAAGTTTTTTCTTTCGACGAGAAAATCATTTTCTTTTTCTTTATCGTTACACACACAAACAAACAAACACACACACACACACACAGAGAGAGAGAGAGAGCATGGGTAATTAATAATCCTGTCGTAGTTCGGGGATAGACAAAGGAAGAAAATTTATAAATTCTAACAAAATTCTAACCTAACTTTTATATTTCTTTTTTTTTTCTTTTTCTTACCTGAACAGAACCACGTTAAAAACTTTTTCTTATTGATTCTTCAATCGTTACGTATTTCAAAAACGAAATGTATAAACAAACAAAAAATATTTTTGGTTAATGGACAATTTTCTTTTTCCTTTATTTTCTTTCTTTTCATTCAAAAATAAAAAAAATAAAGAGTAGGAGAGAAAGAAATGAAAACATTTACGTATTTTCGTCAATAAAAATGAAAGATTTTGTGTTATGTTGGAGTGAAATTAAAAGATGTAATACGTAACGTGAATACGTAACTTGTTCAAAATTTGGTTGAAACAAAATTAAGGTTAAAATTTTTACAAAGAGGGGAAAAAAACACAATTATCTTACATTTACATAACACCGGAAACTGACGATCAGAGAATTTGAAAAAAGAAAGAAAAAGGAAAAAGAAAAAAAAAAGAAATATGAGTCACCCACCAACACAGATAGAAAAATACGAATACGTGTTAGCACGAAATACTTTATAAAATAAAAAAAAAACTCGTGATGCATATTTTCGGAGTTAATAAGTAAATCTTCACACATGTGTTGTGTGTGTGTATGTATGTGTAGGAAGAAAATAGTAAATTATGGATGAGCGTGTAATTTTGGAAAATGGCGCGCATGAACACCGTTCGCCATGTTTTCTACGATCTATTAAAACTTTTATTATCAAAAAATAAAACTTATTTTGCAGTCACGATATTTTTCTACCAAAATAGTACTCTAAACAATTATTTTTATTATACGAATAAATTTTTATTAATATATATATATATATATATATGTGTGTGTGTGTGTGAGAGAGAGAGAGAGAGGAAGAAGAAAATTCGTAAAGCGCAAGCTTTAAGGCGCAACGCAATATGTGAGAGGCACCGGCTCGAAAGCTTCCCAGGCGCTTAATTATAGTAGAAAAAAACTCGTCACCGTTCGACGAACTAACACAAAGACGATTTGTAGTATCAAGTATAATCGAAAATCGATTATTCGAGTACGCGGGTCACTCTCTCTTCAATAATCTCATTTTCTATTTTCACGTAGTAAAATAACCTAAGAAAAGAGAGACAAAGAAAAAATAAAAAAGAACATGAACAACAATAAAGAAAACAAAAGAGGAGGGAAGTACCTGAAAAATGTTAAAAGTTAAGAAATATAAAAATAAATACAAAATTTAAAAACAAATCGAATGTAAAAGGCCAGTTTTTAACAATAATTAAACAATGACGAAACATTACTCCCCAATTGTTTAAAAAGTTTAACGATGAACGTGTTGAATATTAAATACTATCGATAGAAGGGGAGAAGGTGGTGGTGTAGTGGTGGTAATGGTGGTGGTGTTAGTTACCAAGCTTCTCCTCCTCTCAACAAGCAGCAACTCTTTCTCTCTGGAGAGCACCATAGCGCCTAAACAAACCAGTTTTCCCAACGACGACAGTAACTACCGAGAGAGCCTCCCTCACGATCCTTTTTACGATCGGAATCTCGCGCGACTTGCTGGCTGCTCGAAAGCGGGTGTTTTATAATGAAATGAACAAAATAAAAAAAATATGTCGAGAACAAAGGAAGAAAAAAAACAAAAATAATCTTATCCACCCACCAAGATGTTGGAAATACGATCGTGGGAAAAAATTATTAGAATGAAACAACCAATGATGAAATAACGAACGAAACTAACGAAAAATATTGGATAAAGTAAAACGCACAGGAACTTTTAGAGCAATATGGAGTTTGGAAGCATGGTAATAAAATAACAGCAGCGTTGGGAAACTCACAAAAAAAAAGAGAAAGAGAGAGAGAGAGAAGGAAAAAAAGCTTCGGTCGTGAAGCTACAAGAAACAGGCTATCGATCGAGACAAGCGAGCAACTACTAGCGAACGACAAGCGAGCGAATGAACAAGAACAAACGAATGAACCAACAACTCTAACGAATGAACTAAAAGAGCATGCGAGCGAGGCAGCTTTATGCGTATTTTCGCAACGATCGATCTCACGCGCGAAACCTCCCCTTAACTTTAATATTTCTTTATCACAAAAAACATATTAATGATGAACGAGAAAAAGACATGGAAGGAAGAAAGAGAAGAATGAAAAGATGGAAATAAGAGGGGCGGCGGATAGAAGAGAAGTTGATTAGATACAGGGTGAAGAAGAGAGTACGGTAGTAGGATGAAGGGGAAGGAAAGAAAGAAGAAAGGAAGAAAGGAAAGAAAGAAAGAGGGATAAAGAGCGTGCGTGAAACGAAGATGTATAGATAGAGTCGGATCGTTGAAGAAGAAGAAGAAAGAAGAAGTAAAGAGAAGAGAAGAAGACGCGATCGTCGAACATACCGGCGACATGACGGGGGGTGTAGATGTTTGCGTGGTAATCGAGGATAGATGCTGTTGCTGCTGCGACTGCAACTGTTGATGGAGGTTGTTCTGTGCGGCCGCGTCCATAACACCGCCTGTAGTATACCACCACTGTACGCCGGGCGGTGGCGCGGACGGAGTGCCAGGTACGCCACCGCCGCCCGATCCGGGAGCGTTGCCTAGTCTGAAGTCGTATCCACCCCTCATGCAGGAGCCAACAGGCGTTGACGTCGAGACCGGGCTCGACTGCGTACCGGTCGTTGCCGGATTCTGAAAGCTGGATGCCATTTTGTAGGAGAAAAGCTGCTGTGTCCCCGCCGCAGTACTCCTGACTATGTCCTGCTGTTGTTGGTGCTGCTGTTGCTGATGGTGTTGCTGTTGCTGTTGTTGCTGCTGTGCTTGCTGTTGCTGTTGTTGATTAAGCTGCTGTTGTTGATTCAGCAGATGCTGATGAAGGTTTTGTTGTTGCTGTTGTGCTTGCTGCTGCTGTTGTGCTTGCTGTTCTGCAGCAGAAACGGCGTTCATGCCAGAAGGCCACCAAGGGGCACCACCAGATCCATCCTCGCGGTTTCCAGGGTTGGCCGTAGCCCAGCCACCGGTTACGCGGTGGTGTTCCGACATTTCGTACGCGCGTACACGTACGCGGCTCCTACGTTACGTCCTCCACCCCCACCTCCTTCACTCCTCCTCCACCTCCACCTCCACTACCTCCACCTTCTCCTCTTCGTACCTTCGTAGTTTATCCAGCAACGACTGCCGGTACACCAACAACGAAGAGGACTACTACTACTACGATGAGGAGGAGGACTACGTCGATGGGTACGATGACTACGACGATGACGACGAGGACGACAACGACAACGAGGGAGAGAGAGAAAGGAAGATACGGGTACAACCGGCAGCAGAGGCAGCGGTGGCGACGGCGGTGGCGACGACGAGAGGTTACTCACGACGACGCGCACACACACGCACACGCGTGCGCGCGAGCGAGACCGGGCACGCTCGCGCTCTCTCGCGAGAGAAGGTACCTCGTCCACGCGCGCACCCTCACATCCGTACGGTATTACTAGCCGGCTCTTCGTTCTTTTCCTCCTCGTCGTCGTCCTTATCCTTTTTTTCCACCTTCTTTTCGGATTTGGCTTCGGCGTCGACGACGTCGTGGACGCGCGCTTTCGTTCGACGAGATACCCAACAACGACGCGCGACTACTTTCTTCCTCCTCTTAAATCCTTTTTTTTTTATTTGCTTTAGTTCTCGCTTTCGTTCTCTATCTTTCCTATCTATTTTTCTCTTCTTTAAATATAACTCATATATATATATATCTATCTATATATACCTTTCCTTCTTTTTCTTCCGTGATTGTATCACTGATGCAAATACACTGTATTGTTGCGTACTTCTTTATTCCTTGTCTTTATTGTCTTGTTCACTCCCTTGGGTAGTTATATTTCTATCTTTATTTCTCTCTCTTTAGTCGTCCACCTGGCGCACACAGCACACAATATAAGCGATGTATCACCAGGTATATGAATGCGCTCTCTTATTGTAACCGCGGGTGTTTAGGCGCGCGCGCGCTCGACGCTTCGGAGCGCTTTACTACGCACGGAGTAAAGGCTTCGTGGAACGCGCGGTACACTTGGAATATACGTTCTCTCAACTCGACGCTACGCTCGACCGTTCGTCGTCGTTCGTTGGCTACAGCTCCGTGGTGGGTTAGGTACGGTGGTGGCGGTGGCGGCGGTACCAGCACCAAGGCAATGCTGCTGGAAGCAGCCGTGCGGGACGAAAAGGGAGCACTAGCTGAGGGGTGGTAGGGGAGACACGACGGCCGGCCGGCGAACCAGGGAAGGCTTGCTCTCTCTTTCTCTCTTCTCCCCTTCTCTCGTTATAGCTCTTTCTTTTTTCTTCTAGTCCCCCACCACCACCATCGCGAACGGTGGTACGACACCCGTGTGCCTCCTCACCCTCTCCCCATCACCCTCTCTTTCTCTCTCTTTTCTCGCTGCCTTGCCCGACGTCGATCGTTCGGGTCTTACTCGGCTTCTCTCGTTCCTTCTCTTCTAGCCCGAATCTGCCTCAACGTCGCTGGCTCAACAACGACGACTGCCGCGGCCCGCGGTCGCGGCGACGGTGGTAGCGACGACGACGACGACGACGACGACGATACGTTCATCGTAGCGTCTCTCTTCTCCTTTTTTTTTTAATTTCTTTCTATTCCTTTCTAACGCTAACCAAGCGCATTTCGTTAATTTTTCTAATCGCCGCTACCAACAACAACGACGACCACGACGACACTCCTATTACCACATCTATGTTCGTTACTATATCCAAACTCCATTGTTCTATCAGCTTTCGCGAACATACTTTTGCTTCGTAGTTCTTTCTTTGTTTCTTTAACCTCTTCCCCCGCCCGATTGCCCACCCTCCCCACGATTCTCCTTTACTCTCTCTTTTTTCCGACTCCCAACGATCGCGCTTTCTCTTTCCCTCTCTCCTAAACGAATGAAATCCTTCGATCTTTCTCTCGTGCGCCTACGCGCAGCAGCAACAGCAACAGCAGCACCAACGACGACAACGACAACGTCACAACGGACAACAACAACAACCAACAACGAGGATGAAGATGAAAGAAGAAGAAACAACGAAGATGACAATGACAACGTCGTGCGTAAAAGCGCGCGCGACGTTCGACCACGGCGTGAGCCGTGATACCGATAGCGGCCACTGAGCAGTCGTAAATGCTCCTCGTGGAACACGCTGCTGCCAATGGTCCGCTCGCATGGATAAGAGAGCGTGACTCTGAAGAAAGAAAGAAAAAGATAGAGAGAGATCTTTTGGATAGCTTCTATCGTCGCATTAAGCTCGCGTGTTCGATTTCGCACACAGAGGACACGGAAGAGAACAACCTGACGAGGTCCGGCCCGGTCGAACGTTCGCTCGTTTCATCTCTCTCTTATTCCCTCCCTTTCTCTTCTTTTCTCTACCTTTCTCTTTCTCTCTCTCTCTCTCTCTCCTTTCCTCCCTTCTACTTCTTCCCCTTCGTCATACGCGTCGATCCGTCTCTTTCTCTCTTTCTCTCTCTATCTCTCTCTTTCGCTTTCACACGAGGTTAGCCTTCTTTCTAGCGGGCAGCGTTGAACTTGCGCGACGTTGCCAAGCCACGCTTTCACCCGCTCCCTCACAAAGGAGAGCCAGGACGCTTTGGCCAATCGGGACGCTTGATTTGGCCGGTGGGGATGGCGGGAGACTACCGGCATCGACGCCGAGTCAACGTCGCCTCCTCTCTTTCGTTCGTTTCCTTCGTGAAGAATACGAGAGTTATGGCTCGTAGATCCCCCCCTTCTGCTAACGTAGAGGGGCGGATGACTGCCTTCTCTACCCTTGAAACTCGAGGTCAACTTTTAGGCGGAGAAAAGAGTACCGAACCGAGCGAGGGACTGAGATAGAAAGAAAAAGAGAAAAAGTCAAAGAGATAGGGAAAAGAGAAAGATAGATAGAAAGAAAGATCAAAAGAAAAGAAAGAAAGAGAGGATGTGTGTGTATGTTGAGAAGGAATAAAAGAGAACGAGAGACGACAGCCGCTACTGAGTTGTCGCCACGCTCTTTCTTCATCTTCTTCTTTTTCTTCTTCTTCTTCTCTAGCTACCTTTTTTGCCCTTCTTAGTTTCGTTACACCGCTACGGTCACTGGAATTTGCCCCACATCGACGCTTCCTGCTTTTCGCGCACCCTTTTTCTCTCACTCTTCTGTACTCGACGAGTGTTGTGTCCGCCTTACCGATCGACGAACCTTAAAGGTCGATTTACACGCTTCCGGGCTACGTTGGGCCCGTCTTCCGCATGATCGTTTGTTCATTCGTTCGTTCGTTCGTTCATCGTGCCATTGAACGGGAAGATACCTTTTTTTTTTTCCTCTTAGATTTTTGCATATGATCGAGTAAAAAACAAAAAAAGCTCTTAGAAAATGGAAACATCAGAATTTCTACTTAAAATCACGTTTATTAGGTAACTTTCTTTTTTTCAAAATGGGTCTGAACAAATTTCAAACTTGCTTCTTTGATAACAAGAGAAAGAAGAGAAGTGAGGTCCTTGTCCTTTTAGACTCTCCTCCTCTTGGAAGGACGATGACAACGAACGACGGGAACGAAGAGACTAAGGGGAAACCGATAAACCGTATAATACTATTTCTCGCTTGATTTCGAATATTATTTCGACGAACTGACCGTAATTGTATGAGAAGAAAATTTTCAAAAGAATGATTTACGAGCTAACGATCCTTTTCGAATAATACATGAAACGTTTCTTCGTTGAGAGCTTTGTCGTAAGAAATAATATATATAACAAGGAACTCGTTATTAGTTCAGTCTTACTTTTAAGATGTCCAGAATGAAAAAAAATAAAGTCGAACAATTTGACTTTGTTGTTCTAAGATAACGTACGATAAAAAGAAATTGGTTTTAAGGCTTGTAGGAATTTCTGTTTCGTGCTTGGGTTACGTTACGTTGGGTAAAAACCTCGTGACCGGTCCCTGGCCCATTGCAAAGGATAAATTCTAATCGGTAGATTGTTATTCACGATACGTTCTTTTTCATCTAGAAATTGTGCATTATTTCTATATATGTATATATTTACATTAAAAAAAAACTGTATACTTTGCATCAACAAAGAAAGATGGGGTGAAAGATAAGAGAAAGAAGATATGCCAAATCTTGAAGAAATTCTTAGAAGAAAAAATATGCGATAATAGATCGCAATTAAGAAGAAGAAGAAGAAGAGTTTAAAATAAAGGGCAATTAAAGTAACACTAAAATATATCCTAGGGGAATTAAAAGTAGTAATTAGAAAGTCATATGTGATCATTAATTGTGCTTGTTTCATTTGCTTCTAGAAAAATGCACGTGTGTATGTATATATGTATGTAACGCGCGTTTCAAATGAAATATGTTAAAATGGCATTAAAGTCGTGAATTACGACAACTTTTCGACTAAAGAGACCAGATGGTCTATGAAATGGAATAAATTAAGCAGCAACGCCTTGCAATTTTAAATTTCATTCACCCCTGAAAAGCGCAGGATGGTGGTGGCGCGCGAATATCGTGCAAAACTGCCAAGTAATAGCGGACCTTCTTCCAATATAGAAAAAACCTGTTCGGCAAAATAAAATTTTCATCTCGATCCGGCTTCTTCATCAATTGTACACTTTAAGTGCTCCTTTATACATATCTCGGGGATTGGAAGGCATATGAATGAGGTTATACGAAGATGAAAACGTACTTTCTTCGATTTGCCTACTATATACAAGACCGCCTACCACAAACTATACACGTTCTCTTACATTCTTTCATTTTTATTTATTTTTTTTTTGTCATATTTTGTATTATTTTTAAAGCAACGATGGAAATGAATTCCAACTTTCTACCGTGTTTCAACGAACAAACATTCTATAATGTTTGTAGCCAATGTTCATCTATACTTTCGAAGGCATCGACGCATTGTACCGCGTATTTGCCTCTAGGCTCTTACTTTTACTCCCGACTTCTATAATACGTTCTCCATGGCGCTTGCGATTTTATCGTGGCCTCGAAAGGCGAATATTAATTTCACCGCGAAGAAATTCACGGGAGAATGGGTGCCGCTTCGACGAACATCCCTCCGAATATTCCAAATTGCTAGGGAAAGAAAGAGAAAGAGAAAGAAAGAGAAAGATAGACGCGTGTTTATGTATATAACGCGAAGAATGGAAGAGGAAGGAAGAAAAATGAAAATGTATACATATAGATTGGATAGGACCTGTACTTCGTATTATTCGTACAACTTCCTTTTACCACCCAACCCTTGGACACGAGGTGGGTGAGTTGGAGGTGACGCGACGAATCGAAGAGAAAGAGAAAGAGAAAGAGAAAGAGAAAGAGAAAGAGAAAGAAAGAGAAAGAAAGAGAAAGAAAGAGAAAGAGAGAGAGAAGAGAACCGGGTCCGGGTCAATAAGACGAATGAGGGAAAGAGACGACCAAAGAGTGAGAGGGGAAAGAGAAAGAGTGAGAAAGAGAGAGGTACGTTCGAGCCGCGCATTCCCAGGGCCAAGCATTGGCAACCTAACGAACGACGAACGAACGAACGAACGAACCACGAACGAACGGATGAGAAGGGGTCGGCGGAGCGAACGAGGAACGAAGGAACGTTCGGGAGGGGCGCGGATCGCGGAGGGTATGGGGACTGAACGTACGTGTAGAAACATTCTGTTTCTATGTGTGTACCTTGTGTACGGATGTTAGCGTATATGTGTATCGACATG